TTTGTATATTTCTTGTGATTTTTATAGAAAGAATCATGTTCTTTATAAATACGTATAGCTTTACTTCTTCCTTTATGATTTTTATTCCTCTTTTTCTTTCATTCTTTCCCTTTTTTTTTTTTAATTGTACTTGCTAGGGCCTTCCATAACATGGTAAATAAAAAGTGTTGATGCTGAACATCCTCACCTTGTTCCAAGTCTTAGGGTAAAAACATTCTCTATTTCACCGTTGATATTGATATCACCTACAAATATTTTGCAAATACACCTCATCAGATTGAGAACATTCCCTTCTCTTCACATTTACAAATAGATTAAGTTTTTTCTATTCTTAGTTAAAGATTTTTTTTTCCCTGAGTGGGTGTTGTCTTTTCTGCCTCAATTGAGACAATCATATGCGTTTTCTCTTTTATGTTATTAAGGTGGTGAATTATGCTAATTTTCTAGTTGTTGAATCAGACTTTCATTTCCTAAGAAAACCTCTATTTGGTTATGAGGTTTTATACCTTGCTCAATTCAATTTGCTAACATTGAGTGAAGGATATTTGAAGTCCCTGTTTATAAAATAAATTGGATAGGTATTTCTTTTCTTATAAAGTTCTTGCGAAGTTTTGTTATTGGGGTTATTCTTGAACCCATAAAGTAAGTTAAGAAGTTAATATGCACCTTAAACATTGAGGACGTTTTGACAAAGCCACATGAATTGGACATTCAATTCATTTTGCTTTACTGTTTAGATGATTACATGTGATGAAAATCCCAATTTTCAAAGATATGTTAAATAAATTCTTCTTTATTTGTTCAATAGAACCCAAATACCTTTCTGTAGTCCAGAGTAAACAAGCCTTTTTTTTTTACAATTAGGAAATTATTTGTTTATAAGAATAAAAATATATTTGAAATTTGTCTGAAATATGACTTAAAAATCTAAAAATATGCCTTTGCACTTTGATTATCTAAACCTTAATCTCTAGGTTTTCAGAAAAGAAAAAATACTAGATTGATAGGAGACTAGTCAGTGAGAGGATTTATGACAGAGCAGATTCAGGGATGCTGCTACCATGGAACCCAGTGAGCATTCCATTCTAGCACCTGCCCTGTCCAAGTGGGTTGGGAGCTAGCATTTTAAGTATTTCTTATAGTTCCATAGTAAATATATATTTAGACCTTCTCCCATTCAAAATGGAAGTTTGGGAACCTGGAAATAAACTCAGGATGTTGGCAATAAAGGGTGGATATGGCAGATAAAAGAAATACAAATATATATATATGTGTATATATATGTCTGTATATATAAATACATATATATATGTACATATATATATGCACACATAGTATAAATGTAGACATTACAGTAGCAAGCCAATTTGAATTTTTATTTATTTATTTGTTTGTTTATATTTATTTCTTTATTTTTGGAGGGAGGTGAGCTGTGCTGCCCATTCGTGCACCTGCGTGCCCTTCGCGGTCCCCCCCACAGTTTGAATTTTTAAATGGAGGCAATTAACTTAGTGAGATTCTGTATTATTTGATGGAAAAGGACTGGTTTTGCATTAATACACTCTGAATAAACCGTACTGGTTTAGACAAAACAACAGAAGTTAAAATTTTCAGAAAACAGGAAAAAGGGAATGAGGGAGGTGATTGCATAACTTAATCTCTCATACTCTCACTTTATTCTTTCACTCATACAATAGGCACTATTTGAATACTTGCTATGTTCAGTTTCTGTGCTGGTATTATTAAAACACCCACCCCCACCTTCCCTGTACACAAACACAAGCAGGACTCTCTTTATTTTAGGTTCTTGTCAAAACAAAAAAAGCACTTGAGCAAACTCACTACCTGGCTTCCTGTACATTCAGAATAAGAGTTAATGAAAGTTTTATAAAAAATAAGGGTGTAGAGAACAAAAAATTTTGATAGAGAAGCTTATGTTCAGAAGCTTTGATCTTTTCATCATTACACCAAATATACAAATTCTATTAACTATTCACTTTTTAATATAATTGTATTTGGCAGAGTATATATACTAAGAATACAGTTCCAGTCTTTCAGATCCCTAAGAATTCAGACTTTAAAAAATCATATGAAAATTATTCATTAAACATCTGTTTGTAGCATTGTTTTGTAATGAAAACCATTAACTATTAGATATCATTCCTGGTTTTAAAAATTACTACTAGTTAGAGATTCAAAATATAAACACCGTTTTTTAAGCGAGGGACTAGTTATCCTAGTTTGACATTACCAAGTATCTCTCTCATCTTTCTCTTCTTCTTGACTTACCTCTTTCTCCTCTGTTCACACTTACTCGTGATACTGTTTCCATCAATCAGTTTGAGAAAGATGATTGTCACTCCAAAAATTGTTCTAGTATGTTCTATCCGAAGTCTCTGCTGCCAAAAAAAAGCATTTCAAGACAATACAAATGTAAGTGCTAGATTCCCTGCCCCCTCCTTTTTAGGGAGGGGTTGGGGGGGCAGAGTGAAAGAGAGGATCTTGGGCAGGCTCCACACTCAGCAAGCCCAACACAGGGCTCAGTTTCACTACCCTGTGATGGTGACCTGAGCCAAAATCAAGAATTGGAGGTTTAATCCATTGAGCCATCCAGGCGCCCCCATCTTGCTTTTTTTTTTGGTATACACCCTTAATCGCACTTTTTTCCAGTCCCTGTTCCCAGCCTATAAATGTTCTTTGAGTGCTTTTGTTCTTCAAATTTCTTTTTCTTCAGAAAGGAAAATTGTTTTTAAAAAGTTCCCAGAAGGGCACCTGGGTGGCTCAGTTGGTTAAGCATCTGCCTTCAGTTCAGGTCATAATCTCAGGGTCCTGGGATTGAGTTCCTGCATGGGGCTCCCTGCTCGGCAGGGAGTCTGCTTTCTCCCTCTCTCCTTTCTCCCCCCATCCTGGCTCTTTCTCTCTCTCTCTCTCTCACACACACACACACACACACACACACAAATAAATAAAATCTAAAAAAAAAAAACCACAATTTTCAAATAGGGATACCTGGGTGGCTCAGTGGTTGAGCATCTGCCTTTGGCTCAGGTTGTGATCCCGGGGTCCTGGGATCCAGACCCACATCAGGCTCCCCACGAGGAGCCTGCTTCTCCCTTTGCCTCTGTCTCTGCCTCTCTCTCTCTGTCATGGATAAATAAATAAAATCTTAAAAAAAATTTTTTAAATAAATAAGTAAATCAAAATTTCCCAGAGCTGCTTTTTGCTTGCTTTTCTTCTTTTCTCACACTTAATATCCAAAGTCTTCAAGGAGTGCCATATAGTAAGTGCTTTCACTCCCTCTACTCTTACTCATTATTTAACAAATATATGAATTTTATTCTAGCTTTTTTGTTGAAACTCTTCTCCTGAAGTACAGCAAAGTCAAATGATCTATTTGAGTTTTTTCAGTTACACAGGACAGAAATTCTATTCACCCTAGAAACTATATTCACTACAGTTACAAGTGACAGAAGCTATATGCACCTTTAAAAAAAATTCTGCCAAGATAAAGGGTCCCTCAGGGTTAAAATGTGGCCCCTCACAGGAAATATTCATGCTGTGGTAATATAACCCCTGACATACTGCGATCTACAATGCCTTTATGACTTTTAAATCCCAGAGAATGAAGCTGTCTCATTCCTGACAGCTACTGTAAGAGTCTGAGGAGGAATCCCGTTGTTCAGCTCAGGTGTGTGTTTTACAAATTGAAGGTTTGGAGCAACCTTGTGTCAAGCAAATCTATTAACACTATTTTCCCATTACCCATTGTTCACTTCTTGTTTCTGTGTCACATTTTGGTAATATTCACAATATTTCAAACTTTTTGATTATTATATTTTTAAAGGTGATCTGTGACTGTTGATCTTGAAGTTACCATTATATTTGTTTTGGGATGCCTCAAACCATGCTCATGTAAGACAGTGAATTAAATCGATAAATCTATGTGTTTTGACTGCTCCACCAACTAGTCATTCCCTCATTTCTTTTCCTCTCCTCACACCTCTCTATTCCCTGAGACATGACAATATTGAGATTAAGCCAGTGAATAACCCTATAGTGTCCTCTAAGTGTTCACGTGAAAAGAAGAGTCACCTATTTCTCTAACTCGAAAGCTAGACATGACTAAGCTTACTGAGGAAGGTATGTCAAAAGCTGAGATAGTCCAAAAGCTAGGCCTCCTGCTCCAGGAAGGTAGCTAAGCTGTCAACACAAAGGAAAAATTCTCAAAGGAAAGTAAAGTCTTTTGTGGGCCTTCTGTCTCAGGGTCCCTACTTTCTTCCCTGGCTCTAATAACCCTAATCTATTTGCTTGAAGCCTGAATTTTGTTGACTTTATCATCACCCTCATTCACTTGAAGAAAGGCTAGAGGCAGTTGGAGTGTGAAGAATTCCTTCCCTGGGGTACCTGGGTCACTCAGTCAGTTGAGTTTCCAACTCTTGGTTTTGACTCAGTTCGTGATCTTGGGTTCGTGGGATCCAGCCCCATGTTGGGCTCTGAGTTCAGTGCAGTCTGCTTGGGTTCTCTCTCCCTCTTGCTCTGCCTTGCTCCTCCCCCCACTGCCTGCTCGCTCTCTAAAAATAAAAAAAATAAATAAAAATAAAAAGTTAAAAAAAATTCCCTTCCCTCAGCAAGAAGGAGGCTTTGGCAAACTGTTTTCCCCTAGGAGTAGATGTTTGTTATGAAGAAATCTCTAGGAGTATATATCACAATGATTCCCTTCTCCCTCTGCGAGATAGGCAGAGACCTCCAGCAATTTTTTACCACGAAGACCTGGGTGTCTAGACATAAACCCCATAAAATTGTAGGGGATCCCTAGGACTATGTCTTCCACAAGTCTCTTACTCTCAAGCTAAACTACAGCTAGTTTCCAGCAAGTCATTAAAATTACCAGCTAAGTGTTTCCATCAGATTGTGCTGGCAGCAGCTTCTGATTCAGCAGGTCTCATATATGACTCTTGGGATCTGTGTGTCTCTCTAAAATCTTTTTTTTTTTTTTTTAGGAGGGAGGTGCAATTTGTCTTGCAACCTGAGTTCTCAGATGGATCCCCCTAAAATAGGTGACTTTCAGTTAATCTAGCTTTTTCTTGTTGCAAAGGTGGGAGTGAAGTGTTTCAACCTCTTCATATGTCGGAGCAGAAACTAGAATGCTGCAAGTTAGTTTTGACCTTTTTTGAGAATCAAGGCAAGAAAAAGACTTTCTAATTCCTTTGCAGTTTGTATATTCTTGTGACATGCCATTAATGGAGGCCTCTCCGTACTTATATTGTTTATATCTTCGATAGCTGGCCCAAATTTTGAAGATTCATATATTAGAGTTGCGTATATAATTTATATAATGAGTTAACTAGCTCCTGTTGACCCCTCGCACTAAGCATTTTCTCTTTTTTTTGAGAGAAACAAACTGCTTCCCTAGAAATGAAACTAGGGGAGAATTTATAAGGTTGTTCATAAAAAGAAAAATGAGTAACATAATGGATGGCAAATTGACCACTTTGTACATATTTTTGAAATACACATTTAGAAGACAATTCTTAAATCTACAGACCTTACAAAATCTAATAAGTTTTCATTCAGTTGATACCATTTCTATACAATTGATGTAATCTCTATGTATTGCTTTCTGCAAATACTAACATGTATAAAAAGGAAGTACTGAAGATCATCAAGTTGGAAAACATGTATCAGCATTACCTGGATAGCTTGTTCAGGAAGAAATTCTCAAGCCCAGCTTTCAGACTAGGATTCAATGAAATTAGAACTAGAGAATCTGCCTTTTTAATTTAAGAAGCACTCCATAAGGATATGTGACATGGGTCACCTACTCTTTTAAAATGGTGCTCTAGAGAAAGGGATTGTCTGTATTTCTATGTATAACCTCATGTGATTTTTTTAAAGAGAGTGAATTAATAATCAAATTTGTGAAAGTAGTCTGAATTTTCAGTATTTTATGCTGTTGGCTATTTTATCATATGATTCTGAGACAAGATGCATGGGAGGAAAGTAATCATCATGTGATGAACACAGAAGAACTTTCCTGTGTGTGGAATTGGAATACCTTTCCCCTTCTGGAGGGAGGTGGGCCATAAAGGGGCTTAACATAGTCAAAACACTGTTTTCCCTTTAAAATTTCTGTTACAGGGACACCTGGGTGGCTCAAAGTTTGAGCAGCTGCCTTCGGCTCTGGGCAGGATCCCGGGATCCAGGATCAAGTCCTGCATTGGGCTCCTTGCAGGGAACCTGCTTCATCCTCTGCCTGTGTCTCTGCCTCTCTCTGTGTGTGTATGTGTCTCTCATGAATAAATAAATAAAATCTTAAAATAAAATAAAATTTCCCTTACATTTGTACTTAAACACAAGTAAGAATCCATTCAGTGTATTCAATATCTATACTATATTATATATTTCCTGAGAGAAATATAAAGGTAACATAAGGGTAAGAGTAAACATAAGGATAAATGTTACTCTTGCCTTTACCATAAATTGCTTTGCTGTGGGCTGAATGAAATAAAAAGGAATGAAAATGTAGGCATATGAGGGAATTCATTTTCATAAATTCAAGTCTCTTGGAGAATTAATGTTATAAAGCTTGAGTGGAATGAGGAAAATCTCTGTTATAAGGGAATAGATTTCTGGGAGCCAGTGTGTTTTGGTAGGAAAGGAACATGGGTTTTAGAACCACTTGGTCACACATTTAACTCTTGGCTCTGATAATTAGGACATTATCTGCTTACCTCCTGGTGTCTTAATATCTTCGTATTTCATTTTTTTCATTGTTAAATAGAGAGATAATAATAATAATATACCCAGCAGGGTCACTGAGGATTAGTATTTTTGTTAACAAAGAAGAAAGAAAAGAGGAGAAAGGGAAAGGAAGGGATTTATTCTCTTCTTTATCACCAATTTCTCTGCTTCTTTAGTATACTAATCTTTTCTGTTCCTTATTTAAAGGAAAGTGTAATTGTTAAAAAATTTAAGGACTGTCCAAAAGCAGATGAGGCATAGTAGTATCTTGTGGAAAAATGCATAACTTTGCAAAATTTATGAAACAATTCTCAATACCATACAGGAACTGGGTCCTATTTTTATTCATTGAACAGTAGATAAAATGTACCATCAACCCTTGAACAGCACAAGGGTAGGATGACTGACCCTGGTGCAGGTGAAAATGCATATATGACTTTTGCCTCCTCAAAATCTTAACTACTAATAGCCCTACCAGTAACATAAACAGTTGAATGGCACTGGGAGAATTAATGATGGGAAACCTCACTAAAATGGAATGAGGAGGTTTGGCTGGGGATGCTCTCATACCCTATCACTCATCAATTGCACACCCAACATAGAGATAGACCTTGAACACAGCTACTACTTTGTGGATTCCAGCAAGAGGAAGAAAGGCTCTCCTCCTCCTCCAGCAATAGCCCCACCAGTGAGAGACAGTCACAACTCAACCAGTGATAATTCACTATACTTCAACCTCCTACTTTACTCCAGTGAACTTTTTTTTATAGCAGCCTTCCCAAATTACTCCTTCCTCTTTGTGAGAGTGTTCCTCTCCTTTATTCTGCAGCCCTGACTAAAGTTTAGCCATAGTTTGTTTGTTTCAGATTGTAATTCTCTGCTATTCTCAAATAAATCCTTTTTTTTTTTGCTGTAACATAACTGGTAGTTTTATTTTTAAGATTAACAACACACATTTTGTATGTTATATGCATTATATACTAATTCTTACAATAAAGTAAGCTACGGAAAAAAGTTATGAAGGAAATCATAAGGAAGAGAAATACATTTACAGTATTGTACTATATTGATCCAAAAAAAAATGTGTTTAGGTGGACCCACGCAGCTCAGACCCATGTTGTTCAAGGGTCAACAACTGCGGTTAGAATGTTGGTTTTCTTTTCAGAAGGGAAATTCCAAATTGCAAAAATCTTAAGTTTTTTTTTGTTTGTTTGTTTTTGGGTGTTTTTTTTTTTTGTTTTTTTTTTTTTTTGGCCATCCTCCCCCTGCCCCAGTAACCAGTTATCCCCCATGGAAGTGATATGGCCCCCTGAGAATGCATGCCTTGGAGAGACTAGAGGAAGACATTTAAAGCACTAAGGAGCATAATAAAGGCATCTCTTCTTCTCTCTATGGCCTTTCATTCCTACTTTTCTCAGAACAATGATTTCTCTTCCTGTCTCTGAACGTGAATCTTCTCTTTTATACTCATTGGTTGGCCCCAATCTCAGATATCCATCACTTCATAGTCCAAGTTGTAAGAGACAAATTAGTCTCTCAGGCCCAGTTCCAAATATCTTAGAAATAAAATGTCAGAGGCCCAGGATTTGTCCAGTGTTTTTCTCTGATTCCAATTTTGGACACAAATGAGGATGTGTTCATGTTTTTCACAGCCCAAACAGGAGTGGTTAGGGGAGTGAAAGCCCTCAAAAGGAGGGATAAGTAGGTTTTGTAGGGGCAAAAAAGTTTTCTCTTCTTTTCTTCTAGGTTCTTTGGCTTGTTTAATAATTAATTTGATAGAAGAGATTAACTGGAGAAAAATAAGCAAAATTTTAATAACAAGTAAGCCTCCTGTTGTGTGGGGTGACCCAATCAGATGGGGACCCACAATAAGGGCAGTGAAATTTTCTCAAGGCAGAACAAAGGAGAGAGAAATTTATTGACTACATTGTAAGGGAGCAGTAGGCAGGACAGCAGAGGAGAGACTGTGAGGAGGAGATGGGGGTAGGAGGTGGGGAATGGGAGGGTGGGATTGGGGTTGCGGGTTGCTGTAGCTAAAGGGGGGGTGAGAGGCTGGGGCAACTTGCTGACTTTTCCTTTTTTGGTACCTGTGCCTGGGTCAGCTAGGGCTTATGGATATTTTGAGGTGAGTCTCTTCATGGGCCTGCTTGTATTTATCCAGCGGGTCACTGCAGGGCCCTTCTGCTTTACTCAGGTGTCCATTGCTCAAGTTGGCTGCCTAAAAGCAGCCTCTACACTGTACACATGGAAGAGATCTAGGAAACTGAGTATCTTCCCAATGCCTGAAGCTATCGCCTTAATTACTATCCACAGTTAAAGACAAATTAAGATGTTGGGGATGCGGAGTCAGTTATGGGAAGTTAATAAAACACAGTAAACAAGGGTAAGGTTGTTCTGCAGATTGATGTAGTCTTCTCCATTGATAAGAGTTTATAGGAATTTATAGTCCTCTGCCGCTTTCTGGTACACAGCCAGGGAGACACCTTTGCAAATGGAGATTTTCCTTATACATGTAAGTGTCTCTTTCAAAAAGGATCTTTCTCTTGGTTTTCAGAGCTTCTCTTGTGTTTGCAGTTAATTAAAAATAGTCTAAAATGTACCAGAGAGATATATTTTGGGGTGGCAAATTCTGCTCCCCTATAGTTCTTAAAGAAATGAATTATGGGGGCAGAGAGGGAATGATTTTCATTTCCAGCAAGTAGTAAAAGATTAGCATAGTACTTGAGTTCAGTCTGTAGAAAGTCAGCATGTGGGAGTTTTTATTTTATCTTTTAGGATTTGGAGAACCATTTCAGTGTTTCAATCCAGTGTAGAGGCAGGAAAACTTTCCCTTCTTCCCTTTTAGATTCTTTGACTGGTCTAATAATTAAATTGACCTAAGACAGATTAACAGGAGAAAAACAAATTTAAGTACATATGTACAGGTGGCCCCATAAAAGATAAGGTGCAAAGAGCAGCCAGGTAACTGAAGCTTATATAACCTTCTGAGCTAAGGGAAGGGTTAGGGAGCTAGGGATCTGAGCTAGGGATCAGGGGATGCAAACGGGGAGAGGGCTATTTGTAGGAAGGTAAGAGGAGATATTTGGAAAACAGAAGTTTGCCTTGTTATGTAGATATGTTCCTAGGTAAAAAGGAATCTCTGGTAATAATTGTCTTCCTGGTACAGGCCCCCTTTCCTAAGTAAATTTAGGCAGTTGAGGGGGCGTTAAAGAGATTTTTCTGAACATGCTGGCTTTTGATTACTATTAGCTTAAAATAATCTTTGTGCCAAAATGGCATATTTATGGGAGATTTGTTTTGAACCCCTTCACCAGACATGATGAAAGCAGGATTTTAGTAAAATAAATCTCATCATGACAAACAATTAAGTGGAGAAAGGAAATTCTGGATAAATGTAAATGAATAAGGAAGCTATTGGACAAGCTAGGAAGAATGCAATCATTTTAATTAGGAAGGTGGCAAGTTGTAGTAGAAATAGCTCAGATTTTGGTGTCAGCTCTAACAATTTAGCTTACTCATCTGTAAAATGAATACAATAATACCTAATTTGCAAGATTATTTTTGGGAAGATTAATCATAATGTAGGAAGAATACCTGGGCTATGCATAGAACAGAGTAGGTATTCATTCTCTACATAGAATATTTCTCTTGTCCTTTCCTTCATGCTTACTCAGTCTTAATTTGTCACTATTTCTCCTTCTAAGCACCATTTTCTCTTTCTTTAGCATATGATTTGGGGCTGGACACGAGAACTCCTTACAAGCAATTTGAGAAAGGTCTATATTTATCCAAAACAAGCTAACGAGTCCTACCAAGCTGTCACTGTCCCCATATTCATTGCATAATATGTTAAAGGTGCAGGAAGAAAAGTCTCTGACTAGTCCTACTGCTTCAGAAGACCAGTCACCATGGTTTCTACCAATAATAATGAGAGAGCTTATCTCTTGGCTTCATTGTTGTCTCGAAAACAAACAAATACACCTGGGAAGATTCAAGAAGCTACTGTTTGGATAGTTACACCAAAATCAAAGATCCAAGTCTATATATACTACAGGTAAACATATCACTGTCACAATGGACAGTGGCTACCCTATTCAGGTCGTAGCTTGCATTTTGGGAAAATGTGTCAATATTTTTGAGGGTTTTTTTTTTTTTTTTGGTACTCTGCTTATTCCCCAGAGACTACATCCTGCCTCTTTACTTATGGCCCTATTAACACATTAGAAGCCTTCTGGTTTAATGTTGCAGCGGAGGATACTGATAGCCAATCCAGTGATTTGTGGGAAATTTATACCTAAGCAGCTGGTGAGTCATAAAAAAGTAGCACCAGTCCCAAGAAATAATAATAATATTATATAATGGCCTTTATAAATAATATTGATATAATATATGGCCTTTATGAAGAGGCCTGTCATCCATGCAATGAACTTTTGATTGAACAACCCTATGGAGTTGTATACTTTCATCGTAAGTAGAACATTTCATTATAACAGTTCACAAGTTTTGCTGCCTGATGGGTTCAGATTCCAATTTCCAGTGAA